TTATTTTACTGCATATAAAACTTGAGGACTAAAGACTATTAGTCTTACTTTATACTACAAAACCAAGGCTAAGAAATGTGCGATTTTCTGAACAGTTTCCTTTTTATTATTGTTGACAATAATGTCAATGGGTATAGAAACAATGAACATATGCATACTAAACTAATTACAATTTTAGATTAGTCACATCTAGAATTTAAAGAATATGGACTCTTACATCTATGATTACAAAGAAGTACTGGTATTGTACATAAAATTTGGCTCATTTATGGAGAATGTTGCATTCTGAAGGTCGTTTCCTCTTATGGTATGTTCTTAAGAATTTTATGAAATACAGGTGATGTTTGTTCTTGAAAAAAATCAAGAGTTTTTAAAAGCACTATACAGCAATATTTTAATAGTATTTTACTTTGCTTTTTTCATAACAATAATTTTTAGAATTTCAGATGTAATTCTGTGTTGAGCTACTCCTTATATTCCAAGACTTTTCATATATATATATATATATACTCACTATATATATATATATATATATATAAATACACATACACATACACACACACTACTCTACTACTCTCCAGAAGAAATTATCTAGTTTTGTATCACTAATTGAAGATCATTAGCTTTGGTTGCATTGTCTGGAATCTTCCCATGTTGAGACTAATCAAGTCTCCAATGACTCCCAAGGTGCAAGAAGGCTCTCCTCAGTTGAAATCACTGGAATACATTTTCTCTACTGTAGATATTCAGGGTATCCCAGGCACTACAAAATTCAATATAATATGCCTTCTTCAAATTAGCATCTACTTTTCAAAATAATCCAAAACTTGAGTGGCTTCAGCTGCCTCTGTAACAGGAGCCATTATTCAGCCTCATCAAGACATCAAATGCACTTACTTGGCACAACATTCTGTTTCTTTGCCCCAGCAAGTACTGTGTGGACAGGCCAGTTCTAAACAAACACTAATAAATCCACCTTTGTCAATTACCTAGGAATTAGGTTATACCATGTGAAGTTATAACATGCCTAGGCAGTTGAATTTCTGCACTTCTTGGGGATTCAAACTAAACAATATTTATTTTACAAAACCCAAATAAATACATTTGGGAGAGTTACTGAAAACCCTATATACATATCCCCTAAGTATAAACTCTATATACATATAACAATACACAATACCATGCCTAAAATCACAAGTAAATGTTCTAGTTTTATGTTTTTATATTCTAGCACTGCAACCTACTAGCTGCGTGATCCTGAACAAATTATCAAGCTCTTTAAGCCTTACTTACTCATCTGAACATCTATAGCAATGACTCTTAGGATTGTTTTCAGGATTGAACAAGAAAATCTATGTAAAGGGTTTAGTGCAGTTATGGTATAAATATATAAACCCTCAGTAAGCAGTACCTTTTCTTTTTCTATGTATAAGCTTCAAGAAAAATAACTCTTTTGGGGTATTAGCTTTCAACATTTCAAAAGTGTTAATTTTTCATCTTATTTTATATGAAGTGTGATCTCTTGATTTTTTTCATTTTAATGCTATATTGAATTTTTTTTTTTTTTGACAGGCAGAGTGGACAGTGAGAAAGAGAGAGAGACAGAAAGGTCTTCCTTTACCGTTGGTTCACCCTCCAATGGCTGCTGCAGCCATAGCACCGCGCTGATCCGAAGCCAGGAGCCAGGTGATTCCCCTGGTCTTCCACGCCGGTGCAGGGCCCAAGGACTTGGGCCATCCTCCACTGCACTCCTGGGCCACAGCAGAGAGCTGGATTGGAAGAGGGGCAACTGGGACAGAATCCGGAGCCCCGACTGGGACTAGAACCCGGGGTGCCGGTGCTGCAGGAAGAGGATTAGCCTATTGAGCCGTGGCACCAGCCTATATTGAATTTTTCTTCCAAACTATGAAAGCAATAGAAGCAACAAGACAAATAACAGAAATGTATAAAGGAAAGCCAGCAATACCCCCCTTTCCTAGGGTAATCAATGTAAACACACTGGTTTATATCCTTCCATACTTTTTTCTTTGCTTATACAGAGTGCAATGTGATGGTTCATGTGTATGTCAGTAGTCTAGTGTATGTCTTTCCGCACTTTTCTCTATGCTCATTAAAAAATATCTATATTTGGGGGCCAGCGCCGTGACTCACTTGGTTAATCCTCTGCTTGCAGTGCCGGCATCCCATATGGGCACCGGATTCTAGTTCCAGTTGTTCCTCTTCCACTCCAGCTCTCTGCTGTGGCCCGGGAGGGCAGTGGAGGATGGCCCAAGTGCTTGGGCCCCTGCACCTGCATGGGAGACCAGGAGGAAGCGCCTGGCTCCTGGCTTCAGATCAGCGTAGCACCAGCCGTTGCGGCCATTTGGGGAGTGAACCAACCAATGGAAGGAAGACCTTTCTCTCTGTCTCTCTCTCTCTCTCACTGTCTAATTCTGTCAAATAAATAAAAAAAAAAGAAATTCTTAAAAAAATCTATATTTGTGTGTGTGTTTAATACTTGGTATAAAAATAATTATACAGTCACAACAAGCTAACATTAGCTTTTTACCAGACAAAAATACATAGTTTATTTATATTATATTATTATATTCTTTAGGTCAAAGGTTTTAGCAATTAACATTCTTTCTAGACTTTTTAATAAAAAATAGCATGAATAAAACATCATTTATTTACATACTATAATAGTGAAGAATATTCTGATTGTTTCCCAATTTTTCTTTTTTGCCTCTATAATTCATGAAGCAGTAAATATTTTTATCCAAATATCCTTCTATACTGCTTTTATTTTTATAAGCCAGAGGGTAAAATGTGAGATTTAGTATTTACTATGCCCCCAGTTCTATTATAAACATTTTTTTGATGAGGTAACCTTATCACTGCAATCTTTAAGTGTGAAGAAATTCAGATACGTAACTTGTCCAAGGTCACCAGCTAATAAGTGGTAGATCAGATTTCAACCCAGGCAATCTGGCCTTCCAGTTCTTGCTCTTACACAACCATGACCCAGAAAATGACAAAGAACTTTACCCCGAGGTTGCACCCACTTAGTCTCTCTATGAGAATTTCTACAAACCATCCAAAGCTTTCCTTCATACACCATGGAACTGCTTATCTAACAATGAGCCACTAGCAGCGGGCAGTGTGTTTCCACGGCTGCATAGACCCTATCTAGTTCCTTTTGAAACACCAGTGAATGCGTTTCTGAAAAGTCTTTTACAAGGTGGAATTTGTTTCTTCAAGGACTGTAGCAGCTGGGATCAAGAGATGCAGATGTATTGCTAGTGGAGGGAATGCGGAATACTGCACTGGATGGAACCTCTCGGCTGCCAGCTTGCAGACTACACTTCAGGAAGGCAAACGATGGGAATTTTCCACTCACGGCTTAGGTTATTAAAATTCTTACTCAAAACCTGCCTTTTCATCTCAGACCAAAATTCTCCAAACTGAATACAAGAAGAATGGCACCTACTAAGTTTGTGTTTCTTATTAATTTTATTAACCTTTTCCCCCAAAGTGTTTCAATCTGCAATAGAGTCCTGGATACTTGAACAAATGGGTGCTTTTTACAAACAAATAAATGAACCAAATTAAACTAAGCAATCTATAGCTGTTATTCCTCTGAACGAGTAGAAATGTAGGACATGATGCTGCATTTTGGCCCCTACGCAGAGAGAGGAACAAGAAATGATAAATGCTGCCCTGAGATGAGTGTCATATTTTAGGAGAGAAACAGAGGCACAATGGGAGAATCAGAAAACCCTTGGACAGAATTTGTTGCTGCTCATAGGGGGTGGCAGAGGGCCAGTTGGACCAAGAAACAGTCTCCAGTTAATGGCTTAACAAACGCCAAGTGGAGATGTTAAATGTTAGCAATCTCCCTGCTGAAAAAACTTCCCGCCTACACAAATAAAACTAACCTAGAAACTTCTGTGGATGACCTAGGAGCAGGAACCAGGGTCCCTCTGGGAAAACACACTGAAATGGTTTGTGCAGAAAAACCCATTTTTTTTTTCTTTCTAACAAAAACCGTACCAACTGAAAAATGAACCGCCTACTGAAGAGACAAAAAAGAGGCTGAGATGCTGGCCTGCTGTGCTAAAATTACTGTCCCTAAGAGCTGCATGGAGTAGTGCCTCTGAGGGTGTGGGATTTAGAACCTTTGGAGGGGTAACTTTATGATTAGGATAGAGGCTGATAGATGTCCAAGGTCACGTTTGGGCAAGAACAAACAGCGGCCGGAAATAACTGAAGTTTGTAACCCTTGAGCTTCAAGTTTTAAAATGCGTAAGGGGCACTATCGTCTACATTAACCCGTTTCACACGCGCCTACCCCTGCGGGGCAGTTTAAGTGTGCAGAGAATGGCAGGCTCCACTCTAGGCTGGAGGAAGCACCCTGACAAACGGCACTGTGACTTGTCCAGGGGTTTCCTCCTTCCCTGACCTGGCAATGGGAGGACGGGACGACGGGAGGACGCAATGCCAGGGTCAGACCACAGCAAAACGCCCTCTCCATAGCGGCCAGGGAGCTCTCCCTAAACGGCTGGCTGCTTGGAGCCACACAGTAGGTCAGGTTCTCTGAGGGGCTGAGTCCCCCGAGATGAGGGGCAAGGCGCGAGCGGCAGAGAGGGCAAGGCCCGGCGCTGGCTGGAGTGAGCTGCAGGGAGGTCGTGGGAAGACCAGGCCGGGGTGGGGCACCACCTACACCGGCAGGTGCCCCACCTGTGCAGCTCGCGCGTCGCCCACCACCTTCCGTCAGCCCCAAGCCCCGCGACCCGAGCTCGCCCTCGGCCGTGGTCACTCACTCACGGTCCGGGACACCTTCAACTCCTGGTTGAGCCACTGGCACAGGATCTCCGACATGGTTCGGCCGGGGCCTCTGACAGCAAGCAGGTGCTAGGAACACGGCCAGGAAACGAGCCCGCTAGCCCGCGTCCTCCGGTTGCCAAGGGCAACCCGTTGTTAAGGAAGCGTAACCAGGCCGGAGCTCTGGGAAAGAGCGACGCCAAGCTCCGCGGCGGAGCACAGAAATCGTGGGTCGCCCCCTGCTGGCGAGAGCAACCCGAGCGTGCGCAGGCGCAGGAGGCTCCGCAGGGTGTGGGGGTAAGCGGGCGGGGGATTATGAAAGTTAGCTGGAACAGGTGTGGGAAGAGGGCGCAGGTTAGAGGCGCAGGCAGCAAGAAGCAGCATTGATGGAAGGAGAGGGTTTGGTGTTTTTGACTTTTCTGTCTTTAAGAAATACTATTGAAGCTCTTGTTCGAATGGCTGCAGGTTTGTCATTGATTGAAAAATTGACAGTTTTAATTGCGTGATTGATGGGTTACTCTGGCATGGGAGAGGTGTATCTTGTCTTTTTATTCCTAGACTTTGTATAGGGCAGATATGCTACAAGCATTCAATAATTTGTATTGGCCATGGGGCTGAACAATGCAAATAATTGATATTTCTGATGTTTTGAGAGGTGAAATTTTAATGAATTTTCTGTTGAGTTTTTCTTCCTAATTATTTTGACGTGTTTTTCACGGAGGTTCTCTTCTTGACCAAAACTGAATCAGATGCCCCTTTTTCCAGGGCTTGCCCTTGGCATGCTGGATCCAGTTTGGGCAAGAATAGAGCTCGATTCCTTTAAAGAAAATCCCTCACCCTGGACGTAAGATCAAATTCCTAACCCTCCACCTCTCCTCAGGTCTTAGCCTGTGGAGTTAATTTAGCTAGAATATCTCTCACTGGTATGTTTCCTCCTAGTCATGTTCCCCGCGCTGGCCCCACCATGCTCCTTGGCTATGAATCCTGTGTTCCTTGTTGCATTCAGAATTGAGAACAATCTCACACCCGCGGCAAAACTTCACTGCACTGCAAAACCCCGTGCCTTGAACAAAGGTTTTCTTAACGTCTTTGCTAAGTGCTAGAAATTTTTCTCTTAGCAATTCCTGAAAGTTTAGATGGCATAATAGAAAAAAAGTATGTACATATTATCTATACATTATTTATATATACAATAAATTATATATACATATAGTGGTGTGTATATATACATATAGTGGTGTGTATATGTTACAGATACATGGACTTTCTCCAGCAACATACAGCAAAATTATGATTTTTTTAAGCTGTGGAATAGTTATAGTTAACGATCTCTTGAGATTGATCTGAATTAATGTGGGTGTCTAGACTGTATAAAAATTTAGCACCATTTCACGCTGGTGGCCTTACTTCTAAATCTGTTTCTTCAGTACCTCTAGTGAGTGAACATTTTCATTTTGATTTCATGGTCCTGTTTTAAGCGTGGTCTGACAGTAAACCCCAAATTACTTTGCAAGAGCAGTCTGCCTCGTAGAGTTGTTTTACAGAGCAAACTAGCCCCGTTTCAGAAGTGGGAAGTTCAGAGCTATTACTGTATTTGAACTTCTCCTGAAAACACATGAATCATTTCGGCTGTGGCAGGACTGCCTAAGAGCTAAACATGGGAGGCATGGGTATGATTGGAAGCCTGAGGAAGACCTATTGGCCACAGCACTGGGGCCTGATACGTTCTTTGTGTCTCGTTCTAGAACTTTCCAAATTAGGATGATTAGAAGACTCTTTAAAACAAAGTGCTATAGGTTGGGGAATGTATCTCCTGAAGGGATGGCTATGCATCTGAAAATGGCTTCAGGCATTTCTGTTGCTGTCACCCTGGAAGGTGTTGATTATCAGCACTACATTTGGTAAGAAGATCTAATACTTTAATTTGTCAGTGGGTCCTGGGGGTTGAAGTCATTATTTTCTAGATTTCTGACAGAATGGCACAGATGATAGAGCCCAACTCCACAGCAGCACTGAAAGAGAAGGCGTGGACTCACAAGTGCTGGTGTGGAACACCTGCAGTTTGTTATCAAAGAGCTGTTGGCAGTGTTTGTTGTTGGAATGCGGCTCCAGACAGCATTGTCTGCCTATGTGGCATTCTGGAAAAGAAGTTTATATAAAGGCTTTAGATAAAGATATCTTTTAAAAATGTAGAAGTTCTTCATTTTACAAAACTATCACACTTCTTTTCAGTTCCTAAAGCATCCAACTTGAAAATGATCTAATATTAAAATATTAATGAGAATATTGCACTGTGACTGGAATATATCATTTTACCTGTGCATCTCCTTGAAATTTATAATTTGGTACATTATTACAAGATGAACTCTATTGCCTTCCCATTAAAATGTCAGCTCGGGGTAAGGCTTCTAGCACTGCCTGTGTTTGTGTCTCCTGCTAATATAAGATTCGTTTGTTCCCGTGTGTTGAATTAGTAAGGGGAAAAAAAAGATAATTAAAGAAATGGACAGTTTCTCATCTCTTTCTGAGTTCTTTATCATTTTTTCATGAAAAATTTTATATTTTGCCCCTGCATCCAATTGCAGCTATCACAGCAATTCTAAAACTGAACAAAATGTTTTTTTTAAAAAACATTACTTAATTTGAATTATAAATCTTTATTTTTTTCATACATAAACAAGGGTGAATTATATAGTTATGTTGGAACCACAAGTTGATTTGAAAAGTGGCTTCATGTAGTGAAATGGAATGCATTTAAAAATGCACCTTAATCTTTTAAAAGTCAATTAAAAAACTTTTCAAAATTTTAATTTTGCACTGTGGAAAAAAGCCCAAATTTGCATGTCTGCTTTTGATCCAACTAGCTCTTTGTCTGTTGGAAATGACTAATGAAAAAAAAAAAAAAGACTACTGAACTTTTCTGAAACTCAGTTTCCTTGTTTGTAGAATTAGGGTATCGATATTTGCCTCACAGAGATATGAGAATTAAATGAGAAAATGCATGCTAATCCCTGGCTTGGAGTAGATGCGGAGCAAAGGTTCCTTTCCTTTTCTCCTATGGCTACATGAATATTTGTGTTGCCTTACTGGTAGGCTTGAGTTTGAATAGCTTTGATATGCTTGCAATATTGCAAGTTTTTGAGGTGATTTTTTCATATGGCTGATTTGATTTTATTTATGACTAATTCAATATTTATTTATGCATAAATACATATATTAAGGCAGAGTCTTTAAAATTTATTTGGTCCTGTATATGTGTCCTGCACCCATTTCTTCATTTGCCATCTCACCACTTTAGATCATTCTCTCCTTAGCTCTCCACAGGATGTATTTCAATGACTTTGCTCATTTGGCATTCATAGCTTCAACAAGCATTCATTCTAGTGAGAGTGATAAGTGCCAGGCTGTATTTCCTTGTATGTTGCCCTCCAGTCCATCCTGTGCAGCTGGTCCAGTTAATATCCACAGTGTCCTGTTCTATTCCTCTGTTCCATGAATTCCACTAGAGCAGTGTTTTCCCCGTGTTGGGCTTAAGAATATGCATTTCCTCCAGAATTATGCCAGAATCCTTCATAAATGACGAAGTGCTCTAGTTTGAGAATGATTTGGTCCTCAAGGTCATGCAGGTATTTAAACCCCAAAATATAAGTTAGTGGTATTAAGAGGATGAAAACGTAATTCAGTTACGGTGTTTAGAGCTCGGGTCTTTGGGAAATGATTGGGTTGGATCGTGTCACTAGCTGCAGCCCTCATGATTGAATCCTGGTGACTTTATAGAGAGAGACAGACGGAGAAGCATGCTTCCTGTCTGTTGCCGGGTGATACTCTGCCCTGCCTCAGGACGCTGACAGCAGGAATATCATTACCAGAAGCCAAACCAGCGTGCCTGTCCTAACTTGGAACCATTAGCCAAAATAAATCTCCTTTCTTATAAAGTAACCTGCCTCAATGTCTTGTTTGTTTTCTTCATAGTATTTGTTGAATTCTTTTACTAATTTAAGGGTTAACTATACAACTAACAAGTAAACTGGAAATAGATCTTTGTAAAAATTAAGATTGGCATTGTGAGAGGGAGGAGGAAGAAGGGATGGAGCGTGGGTGGGAGGGAGAGTAGGGAGGGAAGTGTCACTATGTTCCTAAGTCTGTATATAAAACAGACATGAAATTTGTAGAAATTAAATAAAAATTTTAAAAAAAAGATTATATGCCAGACTTTCCAGTGACTTCATAGTCTCTTTCTTTTCTACTTAGTAAATTTCTAATTCCAAACATTCCATCATGAATAATGAAATTCCTGGCTAATTCCTGACTCTCCTTTCTCTCCAGTTGTACCAATGTCTACTCAGTAAGTCAAATTCTTTCTTAAATATCCTCTTGGTGGCCTTTTTAAAATAGACTTTTCTGTGAATTCAAGTGGAGCAAAATGCAACAGTAAGATCTGAGATAACTGGATACATGTGTTGTTTTTCATTTTCATGAACCCATAACTTAGAACAGTACTTGTCAAAATACTCACACAATAAATGATGTTATATATATCCTTGCATGTCGACACAACTTATAACATATACCATTCATTTGGACATTGATATCTGACCTTGTATAGTTTTTGGTTCCTTTGTGTCATGGGTTGGTTCCAATTCCTCTTCACTTAGAACAAGGAGTACAAAAATGTGTGGACATGGTCATTGCCTCTTCCCACATTTTGCGTCAAGTTATAACCATGATGGAATAAGGTGTATCCCACTACCTATCCCACTGCAATCAATCTTAACATGGGAAAAATATGCACAACCACTTTTCTCACAATGAACAGATAGTACACATTCATCTAATCCTTTTTCCTGAGGGAATTGCCTGACTGTGGCTTAAAGAAAGGTGCACCCAACCACAAGCAAAGTTTTCTTGCTGTAATTTTTTGGGCGCGATAGCATAATGATGAAGAAAAAGGTGGATTTGAGGGGGTAGGAAAATGAAAAGAGAGAATTATGTAGTGAAGGAAATAGAGAAATTAGCTTAGAAGGTCTCCTTGAGTCTTCAGCCAGATGTAAGGCTGCCTATGAAGAGGGGAATAAGAAGTTAATTGGAGATTCTGTAATTTGTACATTTCTAGGGGTCTTTGGAGTTCCAACTAACCAGAGTGAACATACCTCATTGAATAGTCAGAATGTTCAAATAAAAAGCCAGAAAGAAAAGTTTTATTTTAAAATGAAGGGCTAACAAAACAGAAAAAGACTATCTAATAAAATTAAGCTTGTTATCCTATAAATTATTTGTCTGCCATAAGAAAAAAAATCAGTCTTTAAAGGAAGGCAGCAGGGGGTCAATGCAGCAGTTAAAACACCACTTGGGGATTTTCAGGTAACTGTCGCTCCCCCTCTTCGTGGAGGAACGACACTAAACCCTGCCTAGGCTTCATATCCGAGTCACGGCACCATTATGTCGCTCCCCCTCTTCGTGGAGGAGCAACACAGGACCCTGCGCTGTTCTTTCGTCTGCTCGGCCCTCCCCGGGTTTGCTGCTGGTTCTTCCCGGGTTGGCTACTATCCCTTCCACCTCCGTGGAAGGGCAGTTCCCCCTGGCCACATTCCCCACTTCCGCAGGGGAGCGGCACACCGCCGGCCGGCTCTTCTCGGGGGCTGCACAGGCGTTCCCCTTAGATGTTCCCCGTACATGCCGTCTCTCTCCTCCTTTATAGTCCTCTTCCACCAATCCCAACTCGGCTGCCCACACGCCGAGTACGCTGCTCTCCAATCAGGAGCAAGTCCTGCTGTTTATTGGTTGAACTGGAGGCAGCTGGGTAGAAGCTGTTTTCTCCTCTCCCAGCGCCTTATTGTGGGAGAGCAGATGCATAGAATAAGCCTTAATTCCAGTAACTTAGTCTAGTCCGAGCTGCTCCCCACAGGTAACAAATGCTGGTGAATTGATAACTACATTGTAGAGATACTTAAGTAAACTCTTTAGACTGAAGAAAAATAATACCACATGGAAACTCAAACCAATGTAAATGAAGGAAGAACACTGGAAACAGGAAATGCAGGGAATAGTCAAAGATATCTTTTTTCTTAGCTGCTTTTTTTTTTTTTTTTTTTTTTAAGAAAACTGATTTAAAAGGAGCTGGCATTGTGGCATAGTAGGTAAAGCCACCACCTGCAAAGCAAGCATCCCATATGGGTGTTGGATTGTGTCCTGGCTACTCCACTTCTGGTTCATCTCTCTGCTAATGGCCTGGGAAAACAGCAGGTGCTGGCCCAAATTCTGGGACCCTTGCAATTCACGTGGGAGACTCAGAAGAAGCTCTTGTTTCCTGGTTTCAGCCTAGCACAGTGCTGGCTGTTGTGACAACTGGGGAGTAACCAGCAGATGGAAGGGCTCTGTCTCTCTAGCTTTCCTTCTCTCTCTGTAACTCTGACTTTCAAATAATTAAATAAATGTTTGTAAAAAGGAAACTAATTAAAGAAATTATGCTACCATGCATTTTATTACTTATAACATGTAGTAGTAAAATATATGTCAACAGCACAGTAGAAAGTGGAGGAATAAGCTAATTATAACCCAGTTGGTGCCATCTAGGTTGATTCCAGCTCTTCCACCATGCATTGAGATGCTATAAGCATGGATGTGTAGTTATCTCTTTCATATGTTGACTTCATTTCCTTTGAATACACTCCCATAAGGGGACAGGTGGGTTATATGGTAGATCCGTTTTTCGTTCACTGGCTTTCAAATTTGATTTTGTGATATTACAAACTGGTAAAAATCTAAGGGTCTGGGAGCTGCTGCCCAGAATGGAACATATACACTCCCTTTATTCAGGTTTTATAGATCAGTTCCTAAAAATTTTATTTTATTCTATTACTCTAGCCATTCAGAGACGCTTTTCTATGCTATCACTTCCACCAAAACAAAAGGTAAAAAGGAAACAATTAACTTAGAGAACATTTAGCTACAGTATATTTGCATCTTATTTCAGGGATACATGGCTGCTAAAAAATTAGATTTCTTTACCTCTAATCTTATATTCCTTGTAAAGTTAGTAGCAACTTTTGTTAAAATAAAAATGACACACAACTCAATAATTTCCAAATGGTAAATATTTGGTTACATATTTGAAAAAGTACCAATAAGAATAAAAATATTAACAGATTATGTTTAAAAGAACCAATGACTGCTTAGTTGAGCAGATTCTAATGCATCAAAAGCTCATACGATTTCTAGTAAGCTCTCCAGTAGAGCGAAAGCTCTGCCTTTCTCTAGTGATTATATTAACCTTGGAAATGAGCATCTTGGTTTGTGTTAAGAAGAGAAAACTCTGAAACACTGTGAAGTAACAATTCAAATGTTGCAGTAAATGAGAAAATAGTAATGCATATTTTGGACAACATATGCAATAGCAAATGAACACAACAATGTATTGCATAGTTGAGAGAACTCTTTAAAATATGTACAAGAATAAATTCCTGAGTTTAATATTCCTCTGTAGGTTTTAACATCTAGGAAAAATTTAATTAATTGGGTCGTGATTGGAGTCCTGTATTAATCAGGTTTTTCATCCCTTTTAGAAGAAATAATTGTATGATGATTAGACAGATTCATAATTGGGAAAAATTTTTAAATAAATTTTACTTATGCTTTCTTTTAAAAAATTTTGACCTTTCTGTTGATGCACTGAATTCCTTTCTTTTTAAAGGTGTCTTTATCTGTTTATTTGAAAGACAGAGTGGATGAGGGGAGAGAGCGGGAAAGAGAGAGAGAGAGATCATCATCCCGTCTTGGAGTTCCCTCCCTCAATGGGCGCAACAACCCAGGTCTAGATCCAGTCAAAGCCCATAGCTAAGGAACTCCATCCACCTTGTCTCTCATTTGGGTGGAGGGGACCAAGCACTTGTTTTTTTAATTTTTTAATTTATTATTTTTTTTTTGACAGGCAGAGTTAGACAGTGAGAGAGAGAGACAGAGAGAAAGGTCTTCCTTTTTCCATTGGTTCACCCCGCAAATGGCCACTACGGCCAGTGCTCTGAGCAGATCCAAAGCCGGGAGCCAGGTGCTTCATCCTGGTCTCCCATGCGGGTGCAGGGCCCAAGCACTTGGGCCATCCTCTGCTGCCTTCCCGGGCCACAGTAGAGAGCTGGACTGGAAGAGGAGCAACCGGGACAGAATCCGGTGCCCTAACCGGGACTAGAATCCCGGGTGTCGGCGCCGAAGGCAGAGAATTAGCCAAATGAGCCGAGACCAAGCACTTGTGCCATCATCTGCTATCTCCTAGGTCCCTTAGTAGGAAGCTGGATCAGAAGTGGAGGAGATGCAGTTTGAACCTGCACTCTGATATGGCATGTGGGCATTCCAAGAGAAGATTTAATACATTATTGCCACAATATCTGTTCTACAAATTCAATTTTTGTGTGGGTGAGGGATTCCAGTGAACAATAAATTTCAAATAATAATAAAAAAATTTTGACTTTCATTTTTTTATTATAGATTTTTTAAGTAGAAGAATCACTGTTCCATAAGAGTATAGACAAGAGCTGTAAGCAATTATCAAATCTCAAAATGTCTACTTTGCTCATATACATTAAATTTTTTTGTGCTCTGTGTATTAATTACTACAAATCAGTGAAAACATATGTAATTTCTCTCTTGGGTACTGGCTTATTTCACTAAGCATAATGGTTTCCAGTTTCATTCATGTTGTTGCAAAAGATAAGATTTCATTCTCTTTTTACAGCTGAGTAGTATTCCATAGTGTATATATACCACATTTTCTTTATCCACTGATCAGTTGATGGACATATGGGTTGATTCCCTATTGAGCTGTAAAAACATGAGGTACAGAAAACTCTTACATATGTTGATTTCATTTCCTTTGGGTAAATTATCAGGAGTGAGATGTCTGAGTCATATAGTAGATCTATTTTCAGATTTCTGTGTAATCTCCATACTATCTTCCATAATGGTTGTATCAGTTACATTTCTATCAACAGTATATTAGGGTACCTTTTTCCACATCCTGACCAGATTTATTGCTTTTTGATTTTTGCATGATAGGCATTCTAACTGGGATGAGGTGAAACC